GTCTTAAAAGGATGCTGGCTGGGGAATTCTGGGAGTTGAAATCCACCCGTCTTAAAGCTGACTGATTGGGGAATTCTGAGAGTTGAAGTCCACCCATCTTAAAAGGATGCTGGCTGGGGAATTCTGGGAGTTGAAGTCCACCCGTCTTAAAGCTGCAGGCGGACCACTCCTCGTGGGAAGGTCCATTTCACTGTAGATTTCTGTGTATTTTGCAGCCAGCCTGCGTGACTGAACAACTGGTCTTCGGACTTGAAGCTCGCTCCCCACCCCCCCACCCCCTTCGCCTTGTGACTTTTCTCAAGATATTCAAACCGATTACTTTTAGGTTAGGAATACTGATATGGCTGGTATGAACTCTCGGAGTTGTGCTCTTTATTTACAAATCCCCCAAAGCTGCCAGAGCCATAAAATGCTCGTACATTTAAAACAAAAACAAAACAACCATAATAAATAAATTACAAATACGAAGCTCCGTAGGAAAGGGACCAGATCCGCACCGTTCCTTCTAGGATTGCAAAGATGGTTAACCAGAGAAGATCCTCAGGTGGAAATTAACAACACCCCACCCCACCCCAGGACAGCGTCTATTATCAGCTCCCCAATTTTCTTCTTCTTTGCCGTTTTAATTTTTCAGCTTCCTCCGCCAGTGCCTTCTCCTGCTCCCCGGCACGCCGAGGCTCGGTGCTTGCCCCTCCGGAAAGCTCCCTTCAGTCCTCGGAGTCCGTGGCAGAGGACGGCAAAGCGACAGATAAGCCGACTCAGATAAACCGAGGCGCGATTTCGTAGAGGGAGCCCGGACTGCCTGTTTTCAGCAGCCGCCTGTTCTCGGCTTCCAGCTGCGCGTAGCGGCTCTGAAGAGATTGGTTGGCCGTCAGCAGCCCGTCCCGTTCCTGCAGGTCAGAGCGAGGGGTTTAGAGAAGGGGGCATCAGAATGGTGGGGAGGCTGGCATGCATCCCTGTTCTGACCCCCCTCGTCCCACACCAACACACACTCCGAGTCAAAGATAAGTTACGGCATTTAATTAACAGACAGACAGGTCCTTGGCAGCAAACTAGAACAGAAAAGCTTGGGCAGCAATAAACACAGATAAGGCTTGGCAGAAACCCAGCCTGCCCAGCTCATAACAAAGTTCTCCGACATTCGATCCTGTGTTGACTTCTGCAAAGAGGGGCATGTGCACAAGTAGTCTTTTTATAGTCTGGAGAGGAGCCTAATGACCACCA